CTGAATGGGTGACCTCATGTCCGCGGCTCTGGCGGTCTAGTAGTATCCCATGGTCTGCTCCTCAGGAAGAACCACATCATGGTCCTGTGGGTCACCCATCTCTTCCTCCTCGGTGATTTTCAGCTGTGCTAAGGCCTCCTCCGCAGCCAGTCGCGCCTTTAGAGCCCGCTTGAAGTTCCTACAGGTCCGTTCAAGCTCCTGGTCTAATGGTAGTAAATCTCCCGACTGGCTACGGGTCATGCACTACCTGCACAGAATCAACAAAAGCAACCCGTGAAGGCACACAGGTGGAGGAGAGAAAATGCAGTAAAAAAAATCTAGAGTAACAAACTTTCACGTTTCACCAATAACCTAGAGGTTCCCCAGCAACGGCGCCAAAAACTTGACACGCTAAAACACACACCAAACTACAACCAAGTGTAATCGCATTCCGGAAATGCAGCAACAGGCAAGCTCTAATTGTCAACCCGGGTTCTAGATCTACTGCCTACTCCGTGTATATCTGTTATCTAGCCAACTAAGTTGAGTGATTGTGATGTTAACTAAAAGCAGTAAGAAAGCAGGAAATGGTTCGGTTTTCTAAAGCAAATGAAGAGTCACTCGGGAATGAGTCCCCCTAGCTCCTTAGTTAGGTCTCAATTGTAATTACCCGGGGTTGATTAACTGTTGATTAAACTGCGGAAGATCCGACAGTAGCTTGGAATCTCTTAAGCTGACCAAGCCCTCTCAGGCAGGCTAACCGGTAGGCGACTAGCCTTCACCGAGATAGACTGCTGAGGAAATAAGCACAGAACTCCACTGCTGGAATTGGGTTCCAGTACAAAGCAGTAGATTGATTAACTCTCGTATAACCAATCTACCACTACCGAATGATGAAGCTCTACCAACCTAACCAGATTCTATCTATCTCAGGTTGCAGCAGAAATCAAGAAAAGATGATCAGACTTCAATTGATTCAATGAATCATGCATAATTCGATTAAAACCAAACAGTATCACAATTCCAAGTCATTACAATCAAGATCCCTAACACATGGAACTAGGGTTCTTCATACCCAAGTGAGATAAAGTTCTACTTCATAGAGAGAGAGAAAGAGGGAAACAGAATACAAAGCAGTCATACTCATAACAATGGGAAGAATCTGCTCTGGGATGATGATCTTCACTCCAAGGGTGATTTCCAAGCTTGATTGATGAAACCCAGCTCCAAAACCACTCTTAGGATGTGTTCTTCGCACTTTCTCTCTCTAGGGCTCTGTTTTTGCTCCAAAAAGTCGATTCCATCTCCTTTGGCTCGAAATTGGGTTAAAACCCAGAAATTCCCGACCACACGGCCAGGCCACACGGCCGTGTGACTTTCCCAGCTGCCCGTGTGAGTGTCAAAACGCGGAGTTTCGATTAAGTGACTTCCAAGCCTGCTGCACGGCCAAAACCACACGGCCGTGTGGATTTCCAGGCTGCCCGTGTGAGCTCCCTGGACTTTCCACACGGCCACAAAGGATCCCCTACACGGCCAGTGTGGCTTGGCTGTGTAATTTGGTGCCACACGGCCAGGTCATACGGCCGTGTGGGTTTTAGGCGTGCCCGTGTGGCTTGCTTAGCCTCTCGCCAAACGTCCAATCTTCGTCCAATCAACCCCGAACTCGTTCCCAACCCTTCATTCACGTACTAGGACCTGAAATATCACAAACAAGAACAACCTAGCGTGAAATCGGCGTAAAACACGAGAAATAAGACTCAAACGGTGTAAGAATGGTGGACAAAAACATGTGTATATATCAAGTCATCAATAATGTTTCAAACAATTGAAGTAGGGGTACACGGACCGGCCCGAGTCGATATTTAAACATACTTGCCCTGTATTGCACCCTACTAAGGTTTATACTTGGACCTTAGGCGGAAATTAATTGTGATATTCGGGACGAGTCAAGTTTTTGGTATCGTTGCCGGGGACAACAGTATGTTATCTTGAAAAAGTTGTTTGGTGTTAAGTCATTAGATCCGTCTAGTCATAATTGCTAGCTAGGGGGAGCAACACCCGGGTGAAGCCTTCTCAATTAGTATCAAACCCATTTACTTTTCCAAACGTTTTAGCTATAGATCGTTTTTTTCACCAAAAACCAATTGCTAGATAATGTTACAAACAATCGAAGTAGGGGTACATGAACCGGCCCAGGTTGCCATTTAAACATACTTGCACTATATTGCAACCAATTGAGGTTTATACTTGGGCCTTAATTGTGAGTTTTACTGTGATATTCGGGACGAGTCAATATTAAATTAACTTATTCAACATTCATTTTCCACATTAGAGTCAACTAACTGTTGATCGGATGGAAAATTAATGGTTTGGTTAATAAACGGTTTTTGAAAAGGTTTGCTTATTATTTTGTTTAAAACAAAAGGTTTGGCTATTAAATTGTATTTACCTGGAAATGATCATAATAGAAACTTTCTTCGTCCTAGGGAAGGGATAGCTTGAAGATGTTGGGATGTTTCATGTCCGTGATCACGTCGTAGTAAGCCATCACCTACCCCGATTATCGTTCTTTCGAATTCGTTAATAATAAATTTCCCTTGCTGGATCCATTCATTCATTCATATTATATTTGCCCATATTATTCAAATTATGAGGCGCAACTGATATAAATGAGACCCACTTTATCACTATGGTAAAAATCTCGGGCACTATTAAATTATGAGAATTTGGGGAGCTATACCATTTAAATAAGAATAGAGCATCATGTGTCATTGAACTCTATTATGTTTGCACCCGGTACCACTTAAGTTTATTGTTAAATGCATTCCGTTAAAGTTAACTGAATATTTTTTGGATATTCTGTTTCTAAATTTCAGAATTAGTCCTTCTACTTTTCCATGTTAAATCTCCTTATAATTCTATTCTAGATGTTCAACATTAGTTAAATTTACTAATTCTAATTTTTTTTTTCTATAGTAATTTTTAATAGATTTTTTACTGAATGTTGTAGCTTTTATAGTTTACTTATTACTTGGTTACTTTCTGTATCTTTTTCGTTCTATTTTTTTAATTAATGGAATATGTTTAATTCTTTCTGATTTTGTTCCATTTATCCTTCTTTGGTATTGATGTATTGATGGTCGATTAGGTTCTATTTTAACAGTTTTTAGTGGTGTTTTTAATTGGATTAAGGATTTAAATAGACATAATAATATTGATTTTTAAAATTTATTATTATCTTCTAGTATATTTATCATTCCTTCTTGATATTCTTTTATTATTTTTACTAATTTATCTATTTTGTTGAAAACATTTCATTAGTCATTCTAGTAATACTATGTTTAGAAAGTTTTTTAATTTTTATATTAGTTAATACTTATTGAAGTATAATTTTGGATGTTTTTCAAAGTTCTTAGTACCAAAAGGTAATTAAAAAACTGAGTTGGATGGAAAACTATACAGATGCAACTTTTGACGACTTTAATGGTACCCGACGCCCTATTCAAAGTTAATTGGTATGTCTAACCCAATTCTCAAACTTAAGTGATACCCGAGGTATTTTACCCACATAATAGCAAGAGAAGTAAGTTCATCGAGGTCCATACGAGGACCATTCCTCACCATAGGAAAAATGGTACCCCGATAAGCTATATTCTTTCAAATTTGGTGGCAGGGGCGCCTTTTTCAGCCCTCGTATATATGACTCTGGTCTTTTGGGTAGAGTATACTCAATGAATTTGTGTATGCTTTAGGAGGGGAAGATGTTGCCATACCAAAGTTGAAAGCTTTTATGGGGATGTCTAATCCATTAAGAGCAATAAGGCAACTTCTTGAGTATGATAGTGAGCTATCTCGCAAGCTCGCATTGGGAAGCATGCCTTCCCATATGAAACTTTTTATACTATAAAATTTTCCCAATCTGGGTAAATTCGTACACCCGTGTTCTTAATGATCTTCACAATATGAAATAAATTATTGATCTAGGGTCTAGTCTTTAGTTTGCTTGGCATATACAAATTAAAGAGCACAACTAAGACTATCTCTTTGGCCGACTATTCAGTTTATCGACCATTAGGCATGGCAAGGGATTTAAAGATCAAGATAAGACCCTTCATGTTCTCTCTCGACTTCATAGCAGTACTTGATAAGCATAGAGATAGAGACTATTCTATCATCTTTTGGGAGGCCCTTCTTGGCCATTCCAGTGCATCGATTGATGTTCATAAACATAATCTTATGATGATAATCGACAATGCAGAGCATATTGTACTCATGACTCCGAAAGCCAAGAAGGAGGAATATGATAACAATTAAGATCTCCTTTTGTATAATATGGTCGTTACTCCTTAGAGACTCATATTCCCGACTATGGGGAAGGTGTTAAATCAACCATTCCATTTGACATGGAAAAGGCATTAGAATCCATGCTAGGGAATTCAACTATGGGAATTAGTTATCATCGCATAGCAAGCAAGAGTTTGATGAGATGGTACATACCTTACATATTCATGAGTCACCTACGAATCACAATGTTTCTCTTGATCCATCTCTCAAGGTTTCATCATCTTCTTGAGCAAAGTGGGTGATCTTTCTTTGAACTTGGAAGCCAAGAAGTATCTTGCCATGACCTTTGTCAACAAGTCATTGCAAGAAACAATTGAGATAGGAGGTCGGTTGTTGAGCTAACTTCGTAACTTGCCGCTTAGGGAGTAAGCGAAAAGTCTCAACCTAAGTGTTTCTTATGGCACTCCATTCACCTTTAGACCATTCGTCAACTCGTAGAACCGATTGATAAGTTCTCTGGGCAACTCATTTCAAGACCATGAAATTAGTCTGACGACATAGGATATCCTTCTTTGAATCCTAATTCTCTATACAATAAACTCTTAATCTCTTTTTTCTCTTTTTTTTTTTCTCTAGGCTTACTTTGATTGCCTAATTTTTGGGAGGATCAAGTAATGTGGTAGGTCAAGTTCCAAAATCAGAAATTCATTGTTTTGCCTCAAGTTGAATCTCAGCAGGGACAAAACTAAGTAGGGGGAACAAAACCAAACTCACATATCTTTAGACGCATTCTTTAACAATAAAATATTTAGCACCTGGGCATATACACTTCTAACAAATAAAAAGTGCCACATTGAGAAAAATCCACAATTATAGGCCTACACAATGTAGTAATTTACAAAAAAGTTTGAAAAAAATAAATATACATGGGACTACGGTTGCATTTTCATTCCATCGAGATCATGAAGAAGAAGACAAAAGCAAACCCTTTTCTTTTTCATCTCCCTTGATCTTTTTTCAATTTTCCTTTTAAATCATTTTAAGAAAAAAAAGTTAAACATGAATCTCCTCTATCCGTCTACTAGCTTCACCCATGTCTAACCGTTGGTTGGGGTCGGTCTCAATGCAAGCCAAACCAACCTGCAACAGTTGCACCATTCGCTCCACCGGGTTTCTACCATTCATCATTTCCGGATCTATGACTTCTTTTTCTCTCCCTTCTGCCCTTGCCTGAACAACCCATTGCACCACATCAGTCCCCCCTTTCCCATTTGTTAGGTATTGTGACGGAAATTTTCCGGTCACCACTTCAAGTATTATGATCCCTAAGCAGTAGACATCAGACTTATGAGAGACTTGGTTGTACTGGATATATTCAGGGGATTTGTAGGCGAACATAGCTTGGGAAGCATGGGTTGGGTTTATGAGTGGGTCGAGTGCATAATCGCTCAAATGAGGATCATAATTGTTGTCTAGGACGACGTTGCTGGATTTCAGGTTGCCATGTGGAAGATTGTAAGATGCATACTCTGAGTGTAGGAAGCCTAAACCATTTGTGATCCCCTTTATTATCTTCAATCGAGTTGGCCAATTAAGATCCGAGTGGCAAATTCCCCGATCACCTAAAATAGTAGATGGTGAAAATAAATTATGATAATTTTTAGTAATCTTAGATAGTTTAATTTAAACATAATACTCATATAAGGTAAAACGATATCATAAAACTCTCGGTATTCAACCTTAATCAGCATCATGACTTTTTTCATGCATTCCACAATCATGAAATTTTTTTATGATAAACAACCTTTCAAAAAATGAAGTAAAGTTCAATCATTATCATCACAATCACTGACTTGTCAAATTCCAGAGACAAATATTTAGATAAATCAAAAAGTATGACTATTATAGAAAGCAAATTGTTATAAAGAATAATAAGCAAATAATGGAAATCAGATTTGAGAATATACAAAAAGTGTTACCATGCATGAGATATAACAAGCTCCCTTTGGGCATGTACTCGGAGACAAGAAGCTTCTCTTCTTTCCTGAAATGGTAAGCCAAAGGAGTCAAAATATTCTTGTGTCGGATCCTTCCAAAACGCCTCATTTCTGCGTCGAACAAATCCCTACCAAGCATATTCATCTCCCTTATCCTTTTCACCACTACCGATAACTTCAATGTAGACATTGTAGCCTTATAAGCCGAACCTAACCCACCATTCCCCAACACCTCTGCCGCGGCCTTCATCAAGTCTGGTAACCCAAATGGACCTTTTTCATCATTTATCATAATAAGATCCCCCATCCCATTCCTTCCTGCCCCTAGGCTCTGTGCATGACCTCTCCTTGCTGTCGTTGATTGCTCCCCTCCTCCTCGTCCGCCACCTCCGCCACCACCACTGCCGCCCTTCTTGTGAGACTCCTTCTTCCCCGCTGCCGGCAAACTCACTGGCATCGTGGGCTCTCGTTTATTCAGATTCTCCTTCTCTAGCACGCTGAATGAGTCATCCCCATTCTTCTTCCGAGATGACAAAATCGTGATCACAATTACCATGACGATAATTAGTAGTGCTACCACTCCTGCGGCCACATTCTGGTGTCCTCCCTCCGGGGCTTTTGCCTCATCGTCATCATTGTTCGAATTAGGAGAAGGTGTCTCTGGTTTGTCTCCTGCGCAAGGGATGGCGAGTGGGCTCCCACAAAGAGCGTCATTTCCAACAAAGGAAGAGATGTTGAATTTGGAGAAGCTTGGCGGAATAGGTCCCTCCAATTTGTTTTGGGAGAGGTCAAGGGAAGTTAAGGCGGTGGGATCCTTGAGTGGTGGGATAGGGCCCGAGAATTGGTTCTCTTCAAGGTGAAGCTCTTTGAGATGCGGGAGACTTGTAATGGATTCAGGTATTTTTCCTGTGAAATGGTTTCTATCTAGCCAAACTTTCTTGAGGGAAGACATTGGGGAAAAATATGTGCCAGGAATTTCACCGGAGAAGTTATTGCTTGAGAGGAAGAGCGCCTTGAGCGCACCTAGCTTGTTGAAAGCTGGGATGGGCCCCGCAAAGGAGTTATTTGAAAAGCTAATTGTTCGAAGCCCCAGGAGTTGCTGAAGGGCGTCAATATCGATGTTTCCAGAGAGGGACATGCTAGAAAGTCGAATTCCTGAGACAGTGCCACCACCATCACAGACGATGCCAATCCATCTATTTGTGCATGGGGAGGTGTCACGAGACCACCCATCGAGGGCACCACCGTGATTAATGGAGGATTTGAGTTTGAGGAGTGCATCTTCGTCAGGGAGTGGGGATGAGAGATGAGGAAAGATAAGGAGGAGGAGTAGGAGGAAGGAGAGGGTGTGGCGGTGGTGGTGGTGGTGGGGGGGGCGATGACAACGACAGTGGTGGTGAACAGCGGCCATTTGCTGGGCCGGAAATGTAGAAGAACAACCCCGGGTAGAAATGAGCCGCTGTTCGGAGAGAAATTGTGATTGAAAGAGTCCTTTTTTGGAGAGGAATGGGTTTGTGGTTTTTTTGGTTTAATCTGGGAGGGTCAGTCATTTTGGTGATTACAATAATTTGTCCATTGAAAGAGCTGAGTTTGGTGAGATAAGAGGTGGGGAGGGGAGCGAAGGCTTTCCTTCTTTGCTAATAATGACATCTATTTCTGAAACTTTGAGGATGGTTGACACGGTCAACTTTTCTTTTGCAAAAAATGCAAAATCTAACTGTCTTGTTCATTTTTTGGATTCTCATGTATCCAACCCAACCTTTTACTCTTTTTCCTTAGGTGTTGGTTCATCTTCTTCTATCGTTTATGTTTTGCATTAAGTTCAACTGTGAATTTTTTCAATGTCAAGTTTTCTAGAGTGTTTGAAAGTTTGGATTACAAAATGAAACCCCATTGCATTAGCTTCCCAATGGCTTGTCACATTGGTATAATATTCTATTCATAACAATAATTGTGAAATCAAATCAATTTTGTTCCTCCATGGAAGATATAAAGTTTTTGTATTGTTGAAGCCAATCTCATTAAGAAACTTCAAGGGTTGAAACAACGTACACTTTCAGTGGCAACTAAAGAAACTCTTTTGAAGTAAGTTGTTGGGTCGTTACCAATTCACATCATGAACTACTTTCGGTTGTCATTGTTTCTCCTTGACGTTAAATAATTGTTTAGTTAGGGAATACATTTCATATTATGGGTAGGAAAAAGAGAAGTGGTCGGTGGCCTATAGGAAAGAGAAGAGTGATATATGGATTTTTTACCTATGAATATGTACTTGTTCTTTCATTAATGGCAAAGAAGACTGTAACTCAAATTGTTTTTATTTTATTTTATTCTGTTATCATTATTTTCTTTGATTTATCGTTACTATTTGTGGACGAGTATTCACGAGGCTTTCCAACAATAAATTTGCAAGAAATAGCAGGGATGCGAAGGTTATTATTTACAAGTTTCGCGATTCAGAGGCTTTATGAGTCTAGTATATATGTCTCAAAATCTAAATTCTAGATTATGTCTAGAGTCGTATTCCGCAAATCCCCAACAAAGTCTCTACTCTAGATATATTACTTGTTTTTTTAGTAACCAAGTATGGTTGAGGTGCCCCTAGTGCCTATTCCAAACTAACAAGAAGTGCATGAGGTAAGGGTGATTAGAGGTTGATTCGGGTCCAATTGTACACATTTTCCCCCTCATATCTTGATCGTTTGGCCTTGCATTTCATCGTACCTTGACATATTTCACGCTAGGTTGTGCTTGTTTTGATACATTTCAGGTCCTAGCACGCGTGGAAGGATTGAGGACGAGTTTTGGGACGACTGGAGGTCGAAAAGCGCAAAAAGACCGAAGAAAAGTCCAAAGTCACCGTGAAAATTGCCCCATAACAATGAAGCACAAGCATTCAGAAAGCAGCTGCAGTTCACGGACCACCATTGGAGTTCACGGATTCCCAAGACCGTGAACTGGAAACACAAACCGTGAACAACGAGGCATCCAGCGAGGTTCCATAGGTTACTAACGACCAGAAAGTTCAGTCTCTAAGACCGTGAACTTTGAGTGCAAACCGGGAACCCTGGAGAGTGAAGCGGTGCATTTTGGAGACGACGTTGAGTTCACAGATTTTATTAACTTGATTTTTCTCTTGATCAAAATAGAGCCGCTTGTTTGGAGTATTATTTTAATATTGGTTTAATTAGCTTACACATATGGAGTATTAGTCTAGTGTTGGCCGTCATTGTGCTTATTGGTTTCATCGCCGAGCTTTATTTTAATTCATTTTACGTTAGTTTCTTGACTTACAAGCCCAAACGAGATTTAGCAGCAACTCCATACCTTTCTGGCTCAATCTAAATTATTTTTTATTATTTCTTTTGCAGGACATAAGGGAATAGGTGGTACTTTCCAAACTAATGAGAAACCAACACATCGTCTACAAGCATTGATGTAGGCTCGCACAGATATGAAAAAGGAGTTGCTAATTGCAGGTAAGGAACCACCATCAAAACTCCAAGACCGTCTACTCAAGGTGATGATTTTGGTACAAGGTTTACAGGATTCATATGAGTACAATCTAATAGCCACAAAGTTTTTTCATGCTTCTGTTCACCCTAATGGACTTCATTTCTCTTTTGCTCCAGGTAAGGAACCACCATCAAAAACTCCAGGACCGTCAAATCAAGGTGATCATTTTGATACAAAGTTAATGGGATTTAGATGAGTACAATCTAATACCCACAAAGTTGTTTCATGCTTTTGTTCACCACAATGGATTTCATTTCTCTTTTGCTGCAGGTAAGGAGCCACCATCAAAAAATCCAGGACCGTCAACTCAAGGTGTTGATTTTGATACAAAGTTTATGGGATTTAGATGAGGGCAGTCTAGTAGCCACAAAGCTATTTCATGCTTCTATTCACCCTAATGGACTTCATTTCTCTTTTGGTACAGGTAAGGAGCCACCATCAAAAACTCCAGGACCGTCAAGTCAAGGTGATGATTTTGATACAAAGTTTATGGGATTTAGATGAGTGCAATCTAAATATAATGGTCCCAAAGCTGTTTGGTGCTTCTATTCACCCAATGGGCTCCATTTCTCTTTTGCTGCCATTTTTTTCTTATTTATATTCCAGCTCCCGACTCAGGCGTGAGCTCAAGAACTCTAGAACCTCCTTCGTCAAGTGCTCCTGTTGGTGATCAACCGACAAATGAAAATACTTCTGATCCCTGTGAGACGGCTTTTGAAGAAAATATCCAGCAACAAACAGATGCAAGTAAGTTATCATTTGTTGGTGAAAAAATCACTATCTATTTAAGGCAACCATGCACGTTCAGCTTCTTTTTAATTAATGAAATCGAATATGAAGGTGGTGAGACTACACAAAACAAGAAGCCAGTAAGAGGACACTCACGTGGGGTTGAGTTGAACAAGGAAATTGAGAGGACTGGAAAGAAGCGAGAAGTGGCGATCCATCCAGTCTTTGGCCAGCCAGTGACTAGACTAGAATCTTCTGATTTAGGGTCTTCTCTTGGCAATATTGCTCATCTATTTTTCTGGCCAATTAATAAGAATCATGACAAGGATCGTATACTGGATGAGGTCATATTGATGTTAGAGGTAATTGATATAAAATTGTAATTTTTCAAGTGGTTTCTTTCTTTCTCTCAACTCAATTTGATATTTCATATATTTTATGCTAGGTGAAACTGAACTTGGGAGACATAAGAGAAAATGGAGTGGAGATGGAAAAGCTTTGGGGTCTCTTTCAGAATGCTGTGAGAAGAAGAAGGGCAAACACTAAAAGAGATTTCTGTACTAACAAAGCTCATCCTAGGCAAAATAATCCCCCTTATTTAAGTCAAGGAAAATGGGATGACTTGTGTGATCATTGGGGCACCGAAAAAGTTCAGGTATGAATCATCTTTTAATGTTTTTCCGAGCATAGTTTCTATTGAGTTTTTGTCATGATCTTAATCATCATTTTGGTTTATATTCTGGAACAATATGTATGAGATGTATTGGGACAATCTGTAAAAAGTTTCCATTTAGTTTCTAAAAGGGTTTTATCATTATTTTAGTTGATGTTACTGGAATAGCCTATTGAGTTTCTATATCAAGATTCGTGAACAACCTGTATTGGACAGCTTGTGCTGCTAAATCCTTTTCTTGATCATATATTGTTTTAGTTTGAGGAAATGATTTGGAATTTTCTGTATGAGCTGGACATCTTGCTGCTGAAACAATTTTAAAGATAGATATGATTTGAACCAACAACTTATATTACTCCTGCTGCTACTGCTTTCCTAATATTGCAAATTGCACCATCAATTCAATTAGTTGCTACTGTTTCATAGGGAATTGCGGAAGCAAACATGTTAAATCGAGGCCAAGTGGTAAATCTGAACGCTCAAGGAAGTGTGGCCTATGTTTGTTTGTACGAAGAGCAGGTGAGCAACTTACTAATGCATTTAGTATATTTTATGTTATGCCCTATTTCAAAAGCATAAAATAGTTTCATATGTCTTGTTTTCTAATTATAAAACTTCCTTACTCAAATAGAAATCAAAAGCAGAAAACGGTGCCATGTCCAAAATGGAATTCTACAAGTGGCAGGATACCAAAGACACTGGAGAATGGAGAACCCTAAGTAAAAAGGAGAATTATGTGTCTGTTTTTTTATTAGATGTCTCATCTTCTGTCTCATTATTAGTTTCTTTAGATTGCTGATGTTAGGGCAGAATGTGGTTGTGGATCCTGTGATTTCATTTCGTGAGTTTGTTGATACTTTGAATTGTTGAACTTTAGCATATTTCCTTGGTCACGAGGAGTACATGCATCACATATATTTGAGTTTGATATTGTGAAAGAGAGCATGGAATGGAATAGGAAGAAGAGGCTTATGTGGGTTCGGTTTGTTATTGTAGTGTTGGGCTAATTAGCTTACACGTGTTTGCATGAAACTATAGCAACTTGTTTGAATTGTTAATCTGTAACCTTTCTTGTTGTTGGCAATTAATAAAAATAGAGCTGCTTGTTTGGAGTATTGTTTTTGTGTTGGGTTAATTAGCTTACACGTGCGGAGTATTATTTTAGTCTTGGGCTAATTGTTATGGTCATTTATTCATTACTTTGCATATTTCAGTTCATTAATTGTTCTAAGTTTGTATCCATTCTTCGCCGCTATGTTTTGTGTAGGAAAAGATGCAATTCCTTGTGGAAAGTACTCGAGACACTGAGGATCCTATATCTGAAGATGAAGCTTTTCATATGATTTTAGGCTACAAATCAGGATACTGTCATGGACTTGGAATTGGCCAATCCCCACCTATGAAAAGAAGTCGTGCGGCCCTTGATTATTCATAATTTACACAAGTATTGAAGGAAAACAAACAGTTGGTAGCAGACAAAGAGTTACTTCAAGAAAGGTGTACAAATCTTGAGGGTAAAGTCATTGAATTGGATGAAAAGCAAACTGTGGCTGACGTACAGATATCAAGGTTTGAGAAGATAGCAAATTACATCAAAGACAAAACTATCTTTGGGGACCTAGACCTCTGGTAAGAGTTTTATTCATGTATTCTGCCATTGTTTGTGTTTTGATAGCTAAGGTGTATTATTTGGATGGATAATTAGTGTTATGTGAAATCTTGACAAAGTTGAAACTATATGACAAGTCTTCGTATATTCTGTCATTTTTCTCTTTTAACAGTTAAGGTGCATGTATTCATATATTTAACCATTTATCCTTTTGATCTTAGAATTAGAATTTAATTTAACATCATTATGTCATTGTGCAATCATGATTTTATTTTTGTGCAGACTTTATCAACTTCAGTAGGACGGCCTGTGATATGACCAAAGTATGCAACTTCAACGATCTTTTTATGATTTTCTGATGTCGCCTTTCTTGAACTCGAAAAATAAAGATAGATGCGGAATCAATCGGACAATCCCAACCGTGATGAAGGGCAATTGGTATATTAAACCAATCGGACAGCACCAACTCGTGGAAAGGGGCAATTGATATAGGGTAGAAGCTCGCAACAACTAGACGCGTTCTCTAGTTGATAAGAGACACGTGAAACCTCTGGAGCACTCTCAACAAAAGCTTGCACAAAGAACCAGTTCGTTTGAACTTGAAAGTTGATTGATAATAGAATGAATTACAATGAGGGACTCATCCTCCTTATATAGGCAACGAAAATCCAATCCTAAACTAAGAAAGAAAGCAAACAAATGACCAAATCCTACAATTAAAAGGAAAACAAAACCTTAAAGGAAAAGTAAAAGGAAAACACAATCCTTAAAAGACAAGGAAAGACTTGGTCAACAACTCCCTATATTCTAGCCTTGCAATCCTCCCTCACATGGCTTGTGTTCACACCTGATATTCTTTTCACATTTGTATTCCTTTCACACCTTGTGTTCACACCATGGGAGATCTTCCTTCCTTCTACCAAGTTCATCTTCTCTTCATTCTAGTCCATAAATTGAAGCAACGTGATAAACTTTCCTTCTAGCAAGTCCACGTCCATCAAGAATTATCCCATTTGATCCTTGTATCGTCGTACTCGGACCTTCATCTTTGGACCACGAGAATTATATATTCTGCCAATTGATTTCACATCAACAAACTCGTAGGCCTTGCTTGGAAAGACCTTTTCTTCCACCTTGAATGCTTCCAAGCTCTCTTTAAACCTCTTAAAACGTCTCTTGAACCATGGTCCATGTAGATATCTAGTTTGAGCTCGAGTGACGTAATGCGGGGTGAGCAGGGTTGCATCATTCCCTCCCTCTTGAAAAAGATTTGACCTCAAATCTTGCTGCGACATATAAATTCTCTCCCGTGACTTCATTATTTTCCCACTTGACCATGCACCTTGAAAGCTAAGATGATCCACAAACTCTTGGAGTCTTCGTCTTTCTCTAATATGACCCTCTATGTATATGAATTCATCCCCAATAACAAAATTAATATGGTCAATAATCTCACCATAATCTTGCATATGAATTGACTTACATTGAAGAGGGTTTTGATCATGCTCATGAGCAAAATTGGGTGGTGTGAGAGTACTTGAGGCGTTGATTGTGCCTTGGGACGAAATTTGATGTTGTTGTAGGGCTTCTCCCATGACAAAATCAAATTGAGTAGGTGATGACTCATTAATTGCTGGCTTCACATCTTCACTACGTGCTAGCATCAATGTCTTGGTGTCCACGGTACTAGACCCTTCATGCACACCCTTGTTCGCAGCTTGAGACTCTCGCTCCTTCTCCCAATTTTGTTGCATTTGGCGCTGATCTTCATAAACTTCCTTGGGTGATAGAGGCTTCAACACAAACTTCTTTCCACCATGTTCTAGCTCGTACTTGTTAGTGACTCCGTCGTAATGTTCCTTTCGATCAAATTGCCACAACCTTCCAAACAATACATGCGCCGCTTGCATAGGCACAACATCACATAAGATCTCATCTTCATACCTTCCAATTGAAAACTTCAAGAGATCTTGCTTTGTTACTTTGATGGCGCCATGATCATTGAGCCATTGAAGTGTATATGGCTTGGGATGCTTCAAAGTGTTTAATCCCAACTTCTTAACCGAATAGACACTAATGACATTAGTGCAGCTTCCACCATCAATTACCAACGAGAGTAATTTCCCATCCACCGTGCACCTTGTATGGAACAGATTCTCTCTTTGTTCAAGCTCCTCTTTGGGTTGCACACTTAGAATTCTTCTAGCTACGAAAAGCTCTCCCGGTGGTGCCTCCTCCATGTCTATCTTCTCGTCCACATCAAAATCTGAATTAGCCTCCTTTTCTTCCTCAGAGTCCGAGACATACTCTCCATTCTCCAACATGACTAGAGCTCTCTTGTTATGACATTGGTTGGCCATATGTCCTCTTCCATGGCACTTGAAGCACTGAATTCCTCCATTAGAGCTTGTGGGTCTCTCTCTTGGTGCTTCAACCCTGGCTGCCAGTTTTGGTGCTTCTGGTTTTGAAATGGCTGGCTTAGGGTTTGAAGTCGAAGGCACTCCTGGCCTTGGTGCGCTAGAGGGAGGTGTGAACCTTCTTCCAAGGTTACTACGTTGTTGCTTCTCAACTTTGGCCGCCATTGCAACCAAATCGTATAACTCTCTAAATGGTTGAATTTCCACCACATTTCTGATTTCTCGATTGAGACCGTGTAGGAATCGTGCTATGGTGGCTTCATTCTCCTCTACGAGGTCAGCTCTAATCATCATCATCTCCATCTCCTTGTAGTAATCCTCTACACTTTTTGTACCTTGTCGTAAGGTTTGTAGGGCTTGATACATCTTCCTACGATGGTAGCTAGGGACGAATTTATCCCGCATGATGCTCCTCATCTCTTCCCATGTCTCAATATGGCGTTGCCTATCCCTCCTTCTTCTCGTACAGATTTGATCCCACCAGATGATAGAATAATCCGTGAATTCCATTGCAGCCATTTAAACTTTCTTCCTCTCGGAATAGTTGAAAATCATCTCCATTTTTCTTTCCCAATCAAGATAAGCTTCGGGATCGGTAGCACCTCTGAATGATGGAATAGTGACCCTCACATTTCTCAATTCGTCTTCAACTTCTCTAAGGTTGGCATCATCGTCGTCATACTTGCCTTCTTCATCTTGCACTCGAGGATTCCCTCTCCTTGCTCGCGGCATCCCCAAAGGACGATGGCGCCTCAATTGTTCGGCAATAGGTTGCGGAACAATCCTCCTTTCTCCTCGCTCTTCATCTTCTCGCCTAGGCCTCTCGGCATTAGGGTTTGGTGGTGCTTCTTGCGCAGGAGCTTGAGGCGCGGCTAGCCTTGCTTCGACTATGGCGAATCGTGCATTAACGTCAGCGGCGTTGGCTGCTAGGGTTCGCTGAATTTCTGCCAATTGATCCATCATTGCCTTCATTGGATCATCCATTCTTGTGGCACAAGGTAGTGTTTCTTGCGCTGAAAGCCCACAAGAATTCGCCAAGATTGCTTCAAGAACACGTAAAGATTCCCAAGAACCTTCTTCTTCTCCGCTGTGTTTGAACCGGGCTCTTGATACCACTTGATATGACCAAAGTACGCAGCTTCAACGATCTTTTTATGATTTTCTGATGTAGCCTTTCTTGAACTCGAAAAATAAAGATAGATGCAGAATCAATCGGACAATCCCAACCGTGATGAAGGGCAATTGGTATATTAAACCAATCGGACAGCACCAACTCGTGGAAAGGGGCAATTGATATAGGGTAGAAGCTCGCCACAACTAGATGCGTTCTCTAGTTGATAAGAGATACGTGAAACCTCTAGAGCACTCTCGACAGAAGCTTGCACAAAGAACCAGTTCGTTTGAACTTGAAACTTGAAAGTTGATTGATAATAGAATGAATTACAATGAGGGACTCATCCTCCTTATATAGGCAACGAAAATCCAATCCTAAACTAAGAAAGAAAGCAAACAAATGACCAAATCCTACAATTAAAAGGAAAACAAAACCTTAAAGGAAAAGTAAAAGGAAAACACAATCTTTAAAAGACAAGGAAAAGACTTGGTCAACAAATCCCTATATTCTAGCCTTGCAATCCTCCCTCACATGGCTTGTGTTCACACCTGATATTCCTTTCACACCTTGTGTTCACACCATGGGAGATCTTCCTTCCTTCTACCAAGCCCATCTTCTCTTCATTCTAGTCCATAAATCGTAGCAACGTGATGGACTTTCCTTCTAGCAAGTCCACGTCCATCAAGAATGATCCGTTTGATCCTTGTATCGTCGTACTCGGACCTTCATCTTTGGACCACGAGAATTATATATTCTGCCAATTGATTTCACATCAACAAACTCGTAGGCCTTGCTTGGAAAGACCTTTTCTTCCACCTTGAATGCTTCCAAGCTCTCTTTAAACCTCTTAAATCGTCTCTTGAACCATGGTCCATGTAGATATCTAGTTTGAGCTCGAGTGACGTCATGCGGGGTGAGCGGGGTCGCATCAGCCTGTTGGGGATCTTTTGGCATGAACCAGGAATGACCAGAAGTTTTGGTATATTTTGGCATGGACCAGCAATTGGGTTATATATTTTGGCATGGAATGCTATCGTACAATATTAGTGTATAGTTCTAGCCTCCTAAGTACAAAACTACTTGAGCATGAACTATGAATGTTTTACTATCTAATTAGGTGTAGCTGTATACAGAGTAGTTAAAATCCCGATTTTAATCCTAAAATCCTACGCTTTTACGATCTC